TGGTGCCGATGCTGATGGTGATGTTGATGCGGCGGATGCGGCGGCGAAAGCTGCAGCAGCGGAAGCTGCAGCAGCGAAGGCTGCTGATGCAGCAGCAGCAGCTGCTGCTGCTGCTGTCGTGCTGCTGCCGTCGCCGTTGGTGCTGCTGCTGCTGCTGCGCAGGAAGGTGTGGCCAGCTGTGTCTTGTTAGAGCTTCGTTTCGTGTGTGTCTGCTGCTGCTGCTTTTGCTGCCACTTAGAGCAGCAGCAGACTTTCTCTGGTTTCTGTACACCTGGGTGTTTTTGTCTCTTTTTACTTTTTTTATTTTTTAATTTTTCTTTTTTGCTGCTGTCTTCAGACTTGTTGCGGTTCCCTTGGAGTTTCTTGTGTCTCTTTTTGTTCTATTTGCTGCCTCCTTTTGTTTCTCTTTTAATCTCTTTCTGTTCTTTCATTTCTTTTATCTCTTTCATCATTTATTGTCCTTTATTCTCTGTTATTATCTTTTGTGATCTTTTATCATCTTTTATTATTATTTATCTTTTATTATTTCTTTTTGCTTCTTTTTGTTTCTTTTTGTCTTAATTGCCTCTCTCTTTGCTGCTGGGCATCTGCGTGTCTCTTTCTGCGCCTTGCTTTTGTCTTTTCTTGTGTGTCGGGGGCTCCCCGCTGCTGCTGCTGCTGCTGCTGCAGCATCATGGCGTTTTGGCCCCTTTCCCCGCTGCTAGTGCTGCCGTGCTGCTGCTGCTACTTGCTGCTGCTGCTGCTGCTTCTGCCGTGGTGCTGCCGTTTTTGCTGCTGCTGCTGTCCAACTCGCTGCTGCTGCTGCTGCTGCTGCTGCTGCGCAGGCCTGCCAGTGGTGGAGGAGCCGCTGCAGGTGTGGGCTGTGCTGGAGTTGGAAGTTTTGTCTCCTCCTCATGCTTCAGGAGACAGATTTGTGCTGCACTATTCTCCTTCGCTGAATGGGGCCCCCGACTGTTTGGTGCTGCTGCTGGACGTGCAGCGGGGGCTGCACCGGCTGCTGCTGCTGCAGCAGCAGCTCCTTCTGCTGCAAAGACAGCAGGTCTCCGCCAGCCAGCAGCAGCAGCAGCAGCAGCAGCAGCAGGAGCTGCAGGAGCAGCAGGCGGAGGAGACGGCCAGGAGGACTCCCAAGCGCCGCGTCAAGGACCAGCGCCGCGACGACAGAGACCACACGTACTACGGCAGTAGGCGGCGCCAGCAGCAGCAGCAGCAGCTGCAGCAGCAGGAGGACCTCTCTGGCTTCCCCACAGTCCAGGTCTGGATGGATGGCAAATATTATCCTGCATGCATCCGCAGCGTGAAGCCCCCTGCGCCTTCGGCGACGGAGACGGCGCGCAGCCTGCTTGCTGCTGCTGCAGCAGCGGAGAGCGAGCAGCAGCACGGTCTGCAGCAGCAGCAGCAGCAGCAGCAGCAGCAGCTAAGGGCCGAACCCGTAAAGGGCTCCCATGGCCCTGCAGAGCTCCGCCGCCTGGCCCTCGCGAGTGCGCTGTGGGCTGTTGTGGGTTCGGAGGCTTACCCGTTTTTTGTGACGGACGCAATCCCTGTCAACAGCAGCAGCAGCAGCAGCAGCAGCAGCAGAGAGGCTGAGGGCGCCGCGTCTGCTGCTAGTGATGCTGCAGCCTGGCGCTACGTAGCCTCCATTGGCTTCGAGGCCCTGGAGGTTCAGTACCTACCTGAAGAGGGGGCCCCCGGGGGGCCTCCCGAATGGCTGAGTCCGTGGGAAGTGGACTTTGCTCCGGGGCCCCTGCATGCGGAGGAGCAGCAGCTGCAGCAGCTCCTGCAGCAGCACGAGTTCCCCAGGCAGAGGCAGCTGTGGCTCCTCCAGCAGCTCGAAACGCTCATGGCCACTCCAGCGGACACCAGCAGCAGCAGCAGCAGCAGCAGCAGCAGCAGCAACAGCAGCAGCAGCAGCATGGCTCCCGCGCTGCGCTACCAGCAGTGGCAACAACTGAGGATGCATCAGCAGCGGCAGAACTGTACCGATAAGACACCATGGAGCAGCAGCCAGCTCCGCTGACTCCAGCGCAGCAGCTAGCGCCTCCATGCTTCCTGCTGCTGCTGCTGCTGCTGCTGCCGCCGCTGCTGCTGCTGCTGCTGCTTGAAATCAATGACACATGAGCTTCCCACGGTCTTCCGGGGCTCACTGAAGGCCAGCGTCAGCAGCAGCAGCAGCAGCGGCAGCAGCCAGGCGGGCGGCTGCCTCGAACCAGCGGTCTGCAGCAGCAGCAGTACCCGTGCTGGTGCTGCTGCTGCTGCTGCTGCTGCTTCTAATGTCAGTCCATTCTAAAAGTTAAATTTTGACATTTTGAAGCTCAATTCATTTACTTCAAAAGGGTACTACGGGGGGCCCCGTGGGCCCCCAGGGGCCCCTTGGGGGCCCCCCCAGTGCCTTCGGACCTTCGGGGCCCCGTGCATGAGCAGCAGATCTAGGGACGGGAGCAGCAGCAGCAGCAGCAGCACAGCAGCAGCAGGAGGAGCACTAAAATACTGCTGCTGCAGCAAAGAAAGTTTCTTTTGGCGTAGATTTCACCTCGACCCCCAGGACGCCTTGGGGTTTACCAGGAGCAGCAGGAACAGGAGCAGCAGCAGCAGCAGCAGCAGCAA